TTTTTAGGTTTTGACTACCTCACTATGGTCTATCAAATGCCATATGAATGAATGAAATCGGAGTGTTACAGCCAAATAGTGTTCCTCGTAAGTGCACCATCTGCCGTCCATTACGTGTATGAAGAATATATAACTGAATTACATATTTGTTTAAAACGATAAAAAAATAGAATTTTATACAAAATAACATGCTCGTCCTGTGAACGTCTGTTCTGGTGTGCGGCAGGTCAGGCAAAAAATTTGAAATTGGTCGTGTCATACAGGACAGGACAGGACGGGACAGGACAGGACAGGACGGGACAGGACAGGACGGGACAGGACGGGACGGGACAGGACAGGACGGGACCACTAGACGACAGGACTGACCTGACCTGTGCTCATCTCTGGTATTGCGGTTATAACAGTATTCACCGCAGTACATAAAACCGTTACTAACCACTACATTCGACACCGCGGTTAATGTAAACCCTTAGTAACCACTACATTTGATACCGCGGTAATAGTAGTTCTCACAGCGGTTTACTGAAATCATTACTAACCACTACATTTCATACCGTGGCTTGCGTTTAACGCGGTGAAAAAAACCACGATTAACAGCGGTTTAAAAAATTACACCGCAGTGTATATTAAGGAAATTGCGGTGGAATGGAAAAACCGCGGTCAACCGCGGTTTTACTTTAAAAAATTGTCCTTGGGAAGTGCACACACTTGACGTTCAGTGCAAAATAAAGAACTGAAAAATAGAAAAGTTTTCATGCTTTTCTTTCATAAAACAATTAAACAATGTTAGATGAACAAATACACAATAAATGCATGTACAATTATCTATCTAGCATACGAATGATAATTTGTATCAAAAAAGGTCACGATGTCTCATTGTGTAGACATAACTTTTGAAATTCATAATATTCTTAAAAACTCTCAGAATTAGTAGCAATGTTATTTTAATGAACAAAGTGTGTTTCGTACACTCTATTTTTTGAGCAAAGTTTATCGCAGCGTGTGTTTCGAGAGAAACAAGTGTTCTTTACATTTTGTTTATGCTTGGTACACTTGCTGTTAGAAACACTGCAAAGAACAATATCAAGTGACTCATTTCCAAATGGCAAATATTTTGTTGCATCAGCTACTACGAACGAAAATCGAGAAGTAACCGAATAACGTTGTCGGCATTAGAGTAGAGTGGTTCCAAAAAAATGGAATCGAAAACCGAACCGGAAACGAGTTTTTCCAATTTCTTGGAAGTAGAACCGAACCGAAACCGCTCTTTTCTCATTTCTACTGACCGGAGCCGAATTGAAACTGCGGTTCCCGGTAGTTTTTGAAAACGCTATTCTCTAGTCGGCATTCATCCATAACATCTGGAGAAAGATCAACTTCCATGCAAGAATTAGATGTATGAGTACGAACCCACGAAGCAGCATTAGTACCTCTACCCCAGTTCACTTCAATTACATTCTGGTTTGCAAGCGATACATGCGCAAGAACCTAAATCAAACAACAAATTATTTCAGTCTTAATTACTATATCGTAAAGATGTAAATATTCTGTTCTCTCATTTCTCAGCATTTACCTGTTTATAAAGCTTCTTCGAATAATATTCGACGTCATCATCTATGTTCAGATGGTTGTTTACAGTCCATTCGTACTAACAAGACAAGTTATCCATATTTTCAGATGATTGAGGGCGTTCAGCTTCATTCTCACGAACTAATACAGATTGAGATGATGTTGTTTCTGTTATCAAAAGTTCTATGAACAATAGATTTAGTATAATAAAAAGCGAATTCATTGATATACATTAATTGAAAGGAAGTAATCTGTATAACTTCATATAAGATTATTTTAAAGAGTGAAATGATAACGCATCAATATTAGAAAACATCTGGCAAGCATAAAAATACATGAGATTCTTATTCATTTATCGAAATTGAATGATACGCATTTTTCTAATTTTCTAGTACCATTAGAATACTACTCAATCTAACCAAATTTAAAGTTTTACAGCTACAAATTAAGAAAAACTCGAAAATAATCAAGTGAATACCATTTGAAACGAAAACTATTACAACAACAATACTGTAAAGCCTCAATAGTTTTCGTAATGCATATTTAATAGAACATATCTTATGGCAGTTGATTTTGTGTTATAAAAAATTATAAAATCAGTTCATTCAAACTTTTTTATCATTTATTCATAATAAAATCACAATTTTAAACTGACTCACGACTTAGTATAGAACTTGAGTAAGTCATTAGATATAAATTTAACACAAGAATGCAGTTGAAGTGGTGTATACTAGAAAATAGAGTAGAAGAAAATGTAAATAGAATCAATATGGTTTATTATATGTAATGTCTGATCAAACATTTAAGAATATAGTCTACGTCTGAATGATGGTCAGTGACGTTGAGATAGTTTTCCACATAAATTATCAGTAAAGAAATTCTAGAATGGTATATTTAGTACAATCTTTCTTTAAATTCAATTTATTCTTTTTTCTTTTTGAAGAAGTTGTAAAGAATTGATTCATTGTATCAAGTAAAAGGTCAAAATGAACCTTTTCATTGATCGTTAAATTGAACAAATAATAAAAAATCATGACAAGTAAAGGTATATTTGTTGGATATTCAATAATATCCTAGTAGTATTATAGCGGTTGACTCATAATAGATCAGAGGGTGAAAATAAACCAATCTGAATCGAAGTTCACTCGATCTAAATTTGTGAGAGACGGTTTGATGCAATTTAACTATAAATGAAATAGAATTGATCGAACTATTATAGAAATTACACTAATCGTGCCTATGTATATAAGTTATGTTTCTATATGGTATATTTATTTCATTTTTTTCACGCGAATTTTGTCATTTTTCTTATTGACGATAAACAATTGATAACAATGACGTAAATTGATATTAACACTAGAAAAATACTAATTTTATTATACTGATAATAAGACTTACTTTGCAGAAATGTTTGAATTCGCGGCAATTCATTAAACATGAATTTTCAAGTGATATTTCTAAGCATCCGAGAAACATGCTCTTACCTGTTATTTGCTCTTGAACAGATAAATATAATGCTACTCGAATCAGATCACATCCGAACTGAAATAGATACAGAGAAAGGCAATTCAGTTTGCTCTCTATATCAAATGATCACAATTTGCATTTCGTACTTTTATCTTTAGATAACCTCTATTGTGTAGATTGCAAAACTTCTCATGCTGCAATTTATAATCAGTTTTCTTCATAAAACGTACTCAGAGATCAAAACACACAATACAAAATGTGATCATTTGTTATAGATCACTAGTGATAAGTATGATTTTATCTATGTAAGTGACTTACTTGCAGGAAGTCCTTTCCATTGACTGTTTGGTAGTAAGAGATCATTTTTCACTAACAATGTGTATGGATAATGTCGATTGTTACTCATTAACTTGCAGCCTGACATTACGCATCAGCAGGGGCGTAGCGAGGTGTCGAGGACAGGGGGGGGGGCGTAGCACAAATTTTTGTTCAAATTTAGCAAAAAAACTTTTTTTCGATTTTTAAAATTTTTGCTAGCAAAAAAAACAAAAAATTTCTCAAAGCAGGGGGCGTTAGAGTCCACGCGTCCTCTAGTCGCTACGCCCCTGCGAATCAGCCACTCATAAGTACACATGAGTTATCAATTGATATAGGAGCTGATTTTACAATACACTATTCAAAAGTATGACATTAGAATGATTGAGAAGAACTAGTATGTATAGAAGAAAATGAGAACAAACTCGTACATTACCTGTATTTGAGCATACATGTTAAGTTGAACTTCGGCTTCAGTAGTAACCAAATGATAATCAGTGAGAGAAGCAAAGTTAGGTAAGATCACAACTTCACCAACATGAGCTCCCAATGCTCGAAATAATAGAATCAACCATTGTGTATTACAAAGAAATGGACAAATAAATCACTGACAATCTTTTGTTAGTCTTCTTATTATCTGCAGCACTAGTCGATGACGTATATATGAGTACCATCGTTAAAAACTGCATACGAGTGCTATATGTATTATTGATGCATTGACGAGACCACTTAGTGAATAAATGTTTATCGGAGAGCATTTGCTAATGAAATGGCAGAAACATGTATGCCAAAGTGACATAAATTCAATTTGGTTGGTTATGTTTGATCTAAGAGGCTCTTCAAAGGACATTACACGAGCTGGAACACTCATATAGACCGATTCTTGTTGGTTATTTCTTTCTCTGGAGATTAGTGTTAAATTGCCAGTCATTGTTTCAAAAGAAAGGCGACTACCAGGCAAAATTGAACATCCATTTTGCCAGATTTGTATGGGTTCCAAATGTTATACGATCAGTACGATGGTCGCCTGATAATGTTATCCCAGTAGGGACTATTAAGAGTGAAGCGAAAGTAGTAACGCCTGTTTCAAGTTCTAGTAGATTTGTTGGACAAGATGGAAAAATACCGATATCAGAAAGTTTAACATTATCTTGAATATGAGCGCCTAACCAACGAAGAACAGAAGGATAAACGCCACCGTAATCAGATAGTAGTAACCAAGCATGATGAAAATTGAATACGATTAATTGCCGAAGCCATAACTTATGTAAATACGATCAAGAAGCTATCGAGTACGTATCACCAGATGAACAAGGACCAGCTACGAATTTCAGCAGGATGTTAGAAACAAAACAGCCGAGTATCGACCACCAAGTCCAACAAAAAGCAATACTGATAGGTAGTGGTATATATTCAATTGAATAAATTTTGTAGACAAAAATCAAAAGTGTATAATGAATACAGGTTAGCAAGATGAGTACAATAATCTGGTAGATCTTATGCCATATCGATAGTGATCTTTTACTGTGAGTAGTATAGTCACTGGATGAAATAGGTTTATGTTCTCCACCATCGATTACTATTTTAGATGTAGTGGAACCAGTGACCGATGACATTGGTTGAATAATAATATCATCTTTCATATCAACTCCAACGAATAAAATCGATCGTGTGCCGATTGAACAATCACAGCCGATTCTAATTGGATAAAGTTGAAAAGTATTGACATTATTGAAATGAAAGCAATTCAACAATGTCTGATCAGTAACCCAAGTTTCATTACTAATTTCTAACAAATATGAAGGATCAATAGCTGTGGTGTTAATATGTGCACTCGAGCTTACACGAACACTACAAAGCCGAAGATAGTAATTATAGAATGGTGTACCACCCATATGTTGTAACTAAAATGTATTATTATTCCATACTCGATCTATAACCACCATCGATAATAGGTCTACGAGAAAACCTTGTCGGTTTTGATGTTTCGTGGTATTAGTACACGTGGCCAGTTCACATAGAACAGAAGATGAAACATTGGAGGATCGGGAAAAGAAATGGATACCATCGATAAATTATCATAATTGGCTATAACTATTGACAAAGAAGAAGTATAATACTTACAGATTCTATAATAAATTAAGGTGCAAGATGAACACATATTCGATGCGGTCGATCAACGGCGGGAACTATCTCTTGCAATTGATTTGAAATCAATAACGGTTCTATTGCTATGGCCAATTGTCGAATAGATGAATTTGTAAATAAAAGACCGATGTCAATATTATTATACACCTGTTGTCGTATTAATGTAAGTATACGGATAGCATCTAATGATGTTCCGCCGAGCTGAGCAAGAGGAACGTCAATAGGCGGGGATTCAATATGTAAAGCTTGACTGAAAATCTGTTGTAGTTGTTGTTCAAGAATAGTACTTGGTCCATTGCTGCCATGATCAGTAACTATCGATAAAAAGTCAGGTGAAGGAAGAAGCTTTCGATCTATTTTTCCATTTTGACTCAAAGGTAATTTCTCAAGTATAATAAAGAAAGATGGAATCATATGTGGTGGAAGATGAGATTGGCAATGTTGACGTAGTCGTTCTTCATTCATATGAAAAGATTGAATATAACCAACTAAATATTCATCTTTCCATTTCATGACAACACACGCAGAAACAGATGAAATGCTAAGTAAACATCGTTCGATTTCACCAAGTTCAATTCGTTGTCCATGTAATTTGATTTGATGATCTTTTCTACCAACATAATGTATCAATCCCTTATTGTTCATATGAACAAGGTCACCTGTTCGATAGAATAAAACATCATTTATATAAATAAATGCTTTTGCGGACAGATCGTCACGTCCAAGATAACCAGCAAAAACTCCAGCTCCAGAAACAAGTAGTTCCCCATCAGAATGTACAGTTTGTGGTTGATCGAAGTTATCTTGAGCTATGCAGCGATAATTAGGAAGTGGCATACCAAGAGGAATACTTTGTCCATCGTTGATTGTGTTTACTTGATGAAATAAAGATTGCAGAGTAGTTTCGGCAGGACCACATAAATTCCATATGTGACAGTTCTCTGTAGTACTTTCTAGCAGTTGAATAAGTTTCAAAGAGCAACGTTCCCCTATACATAACAAAGGAAAAATGTCACGTAAGACACCAAAACAACAATGCTGAACACTCACCTCCAGTGCACAGAGAACGCAAACATTTCACAATGACATGTTTCTTGCTTTCAACGATATGCTCGAAAAACAACTGCAGTAAAGTAGGTACCGTGTATAAAAAACTGATTTGTTTGGTATGTAGAACTTCTGAAAGATATTCAAAGTCTGTATTTCCTCTAGGATGTAGCATCACTAGGCAAGCACCAATTATTATAGTCCCTATAATTTCTTGAATATGAATATCAAATGAACAACGTGCAATTTGTACGACGGTATCACTTTTATTGAATAAGTTAATAAGTACCAGTGATCGTATAGACTGCGCGAGATTTCTATGACGAAGTTGAGCCTAAAAACAATAAGAACACACTGATATTTTACGACAATGCCAGTTTTATAACTGACCGGCTTAGGTTTTCCTGTCGAACCACTTGTGAAGATTATGTAAGCTATATCATCAACTGTCACTGTCACATTTGATAGTCGATCAGCATCAATATCACCTGTGACATCCTTGTATATCAATAATGAACCAATATCAAATGAAATAATATCATCATTAAACTTATTTTTTGTCAACCAATGAACAAGAACAAGACGACTTTGTGTTTGTTGTACAAGTGCATGTAAACGAGTTTGTGGATCACGAGGTGATAATGGACAATAAACACCACCAGCCATCTCGATTGCCATAATGCCAATAACCTAATGATTATCAATCTCAATTTAATATCAACAATTACGTTTTTTCATCAACTTACCATTGATAAACTTCGCTCAACACATTGACAAATGACGTCACCTAGAGAGACATGATATTCGTTGAGGAGATTCAAAGATAATAGTTGAACATAATGTAACAGTTCAGAATATGTCAAAGATTGCTCATCAAGTTCAACAGCTAGCTTTTGTGGATATTTCATTACTTGACGTACAAATTCATGATGAATACAAGTAACAGGAGATGAGAATGATACTTGTGTATTATTCATAGATCGTGAAAGAAATTGCTCAGTTGACAATGTTAATGATATTTCGTAAATTGGTTTATTCATTTGACTATTCATAGATATGAATAATTGATTTACCATTGAATGGAACCTTTGTGCAGTCTTGATAACGGTTTCTGCATTGAATAAATTTAGTGATCCATTAATTGTACATGAGAGTTCATTCATATCCAGATTAAGCTGAAAACTAGCTATAAAATCAAAATTGCTCATTATATCATTTTCACTAATCTTCGATGAAAATGGTATCAAAGATAGTTGATTATCATCAAGGATTATTTCATTCGTGTCATTCTTGGTCATTGAGGAAATACATTCGAATGATATATCAAGAAATGTAGGGTTTGAAACCTTTGGATGTTGCTGGAGGATACGTTGTAGTGGGAAATAAGAATATTTCCGAGTATTTTTTGATATCTCGTGGACATACTCATATAGTTGATGCAAAGACCAATGTGGATCTACTTGACATCTCAATGGAATCACATTTTCAAATAGTCCAATGATTGATTTAAGTTCATCTCTATATCGATTATCGATAGTCATTCCAATACATAGATCTTTTTCTCCATTGGTTAGTTTAAACAAGAAGATAAAGTAGATAGCAAGTGTCAGATGTTCAAGTGATATGTTATAAATTGATGCATAAGTAATCAAGTATTGCGAAAGATCTTGACCAAAATCAAAAGCGATGGATATTACACGATGAGTTCTATGCTCACTTGCAAGACGATATCGATCATATGGTAATGACAAAGATTGATCAAGTTTGCAGTCATGAAGAATATCAAGCCAAAACATCTTTGCACCACTCATTAACATTTGTTGTTCAATCACAGCATCTAAACAAAGAAATTGAATGTATCATGGAAGATAAGTATAAGATTTATTAATATTTACAATCACGATAACGTAAAGTAGTTTCATCATTGTTTGATAGTTGATTTGTTGTATATGCTTGATTGAGATCATGAAGAAATATATTCATTGATGCAAAATCAAATAAAGCATGATGAAAATTAAAGATGATTACATCTTTATCAGAAAGAAGATCATTAGAAGAGATTTCTTTGTAATAAACAAAATGACATCGAAAAACATGACCTTGAGCAAGATTGAAAAGTTGAGAACTATGTTTTTCTTCATGTATGATATTAATGAGTTGTTCTTCTGTTTCATATATACTTTTAATAATGGTAAATAGTGTATCATTATGATGGTTGAAGTCAATGATTTTTTGCGTAAGTGTATGGTATTCTCTGTGAAACGTTAATGATGTACGAAGTGACTGATGTTTTGCGACAACTAGTTGAAGAGCATTATGAAGTTGGTTAATTGATATAGGATATCCTGAGTGAGCATGATAAAGAAAAGGCATGTTGTAGATTGTTACTTGTGATTGATCAGGGTCGAATCGAATTCGTTCATCATGGCAAATACGAGCTTGTGCATATGATGCTGGTGCTGTAAAAATAAAAGATTGATTAAAATAAAACTGGAATCATATATTAATAAACGCAGATCCTCATCATTTGATACATTGTTCAGTTTTTCTCATTATTTTAGTTAATTGATATAGCTAATGCTGTTATTATCAAAGATAAATATCATTAGTTAATCGCAAACATGGCAATTTATTGTATGAGAATATTCAAAACAAGGTCAGAAGGCTCACAAATTTTTCTGTTTGGTACCATATTAGTTTAATGTGATATATTTAACTGAACTCGTTTCTATATCGGGAAACATCTAACCGTTATTATCATGTTAATGTTGAATAATGTCACATTCTATGTTATTGTAGATAACATAGATGTAAAAGACAAAAGTTGTCTACATGAGTCTTTAACATCTGAATAAGACCTCTGACGTATCATTATCAAAATAATATTGTCTGGACGATCTTCATCTAGCCTGGAAAATCAATTGAATTTTTATTTTACCAGATTGAATGTCAAGTTTGAATCAAGAAACTGTTTATCGAAAGTTATACAAGTACTTTGCTAAACTATTTCAGCTTGAAATATTTTGTTGTTCGAAATAAAAAGGAATTTGAAATTCTCACTTCATAACTTATTTTCATAAGCACAACGGTATTTCTATGTTTGCTTTTAATATTTTTCATATTTCTTAGTTTTTTTAAGCTAGCAAATTAACAGTTTTTTGAAAAGATTGATAGCCTCTTCTTACTTCTCTGAATTATAATTAATGTTAAAATAGTTCTCTTTCGATATTACATGTACAATCGTTATATGTTGAATGACTTTGTCTAAGATTTAGTAAACAGAGATTTATCACAGGATACAGATGATTTACAATGAACAAATATTAATTACATGAAGTAAAGATTATTCTCTGTAGAGGCGATTAAAAATCATTGATAAATTTAAATAGTAGTTTGAAAAGTATCATCCATCAGTTAAGCAAATTTAAAAGAGCCTTATAGCCATTTTTTCTGTCTTATATATAATGATTCATGCTTTATTTCTAGGTGTGTTATAGAAATTTTCGATTTGAAAATATTTCGGAGATTTTCACTCAATAAGTCAAGCGAAATCTTTTGGCGTTAATCATCGTGAATATATTGTGCATTACAGATACATCTTTTTATGGATATTTCAAAATGTTGTCACTATCTTCATATGGGTTTGACTTTCTAATTCTTCTGAATACACTCTATCCATCTACATATACTTAGAAATAAA